GACCACTGACCACCACCAACACTAAACCGTGTGCAGGTGGGATGATGACATTAGCCGCCGCCGCCGCCGCCACCACCGCCGCCTTACACGAAAATGAGTGCTTAAGGGGGAAGGTGAGATGAGGTGAGATGAGGTGAGGTGAGGTTAAGTAGTGAGGAATGAGGAGAGGTGGGATGGGTTGGGGTGAGGTGGTGTTTTTGGCACTGTTGTTTGCACCCTCATTCTTGACCTCTCATAACAGCTCCTGTGCTTGCACGCGCATGTGGGCGTGCATTATAACCTCGAGACAAATTATCCACCATTCGCCTCACTGGAGGAGTCACATGTTAAGAGGGAGTTGTTGATCTCTCCCTTGCACGTTTTAGTAGGAGATGAGGAGGGCATTGCTACGAACTGCTTTGATGCAATTGCCCTTCCACCGTTCTCCCTCACCATCTGTCCCGAGTGTGCCTCATCAACTGTCAAACACCATGAACTGCTTGACAGCGGATATTTAAAGTCATACAGTTGGACTGGAGACTGGAGATTGTGGGAAATGCAAGTGGGAGTAGGAATGGGATGGCATTTGTCTCGCCTCCAGCTATGACCTTTAGTCAAACCTGTGCACTACATCGACTTGTGGACGATCCGAAATGAGTGTGTTTGTCCTGACCGTACACCTCCACCTCCACCTCCTCCTCTCACACCTCGTTATACTGCTTTCCGATACAAGCGGTGCAAGTCTACAACGTGTTTGATTGAATGGTGAATGAGGAGGCAAGAAAAGGTGGGAAGGTGGGAAGAAGGAGAGGAAGGGGAAGGAGAGAGGGATTGACGGAGGGAGAGATTGACACTGCTACTACCCTCCACCGACACATGACTTGTTGATGTGGTTGTTGTCGTCGCCGAAACGCATTGGTTAGGGAGTAAAGGCAGAAATCGGAGATTGTGTAGCGTCCAACAGGTGATTGTCGTCCGCCCACTTGTGCTAAGTAGTGGTGGTGATGGTGATGGCGGCTATGTCTTGCACCACTTTGACGCTGCTTTGATGCCTCTCGCATTGCAGCCTGTTTGGCTGTTTGATGCAGTGTCGACTCGGTTGGATGCAAGCCATTCACTCACCGTGCACCTGCGTATTATGTGCTGCTGCTGTGCCCCTCTACATGAACATGTCTTTTGGTTGTGCATGAGGTGCTCCACTGCTTCAGACGCACTCGTCCATCTCATACAAGTCCACATTTCACTCCACCTACTCAACGTAACTCAAATGTCACTAAAGTGAACAGTCTTTCTTCTTCTTCGTCTGCTTCTCCTTCTCCCTCCTCTTATTATTGAAATTTTCAAACATCACTAGTGTTTCTTCCTGGCAGTGGTCGATGACACATTGTCATCCACGCACTCAACAGTCAATGCCTCACTCGTTTTGCGAAGCCTCAGCGTGCTCTCAACAGTGCAGATGCTCTTTTTGTGCGCCTCGTTCCACTTTGCACAATCTGCAATGACTTGTCGGTTGTAAGCAGAACCGTGCCACTTCTCGCCTTAAGCAATTTACGATGGAATTTGCATTTTCAGCAAAGGTCACGTTTCTACTGCCTGTCGAAGGTAGATGAACGACGGGTGATGAATGAATGAATGAATGAAGGAAGGGTTGAAGGGAGAAAGGAAGGAGGAAAAACGGACGTGACGATTGACTAGGGACGGCAGCACTTGTGTTCTTTTGTTAGAAGTTTGTGTAGTGAATATATGCTCTGCATTGATGGCAGTGATGAATGTTGGTGCGACAAAGCGGTGGCTGTTGTCAACGAGGCGTTGGTCTGATGCAAAATTAGCAAACCTTAGAGCAATGGGAATGCACAAAACCGCGTCGAGTGGATAGCGGTGGGATGAGGTGGCGCGCAGTTACGCACTCTTGCATGTGCGGACATGGAATGGCGCTACCATCTGTCACATGAAGTGGTGATGACTGAGCCTGCTCTCTACTTTTCAGTTTGTTCGCAGTTTGGACAAGGAGAAGCGAGCGCGACTGCTGCAATTCATCACCGGCACTTGTCACATTCCCTTGGGTGGATTCGGTGAGCTGATGGGTGAGTCCTCTTCCCCCCTCTTTCACTCCCACTCCTCCTCCTCCTCCCCCTGCTTATTCTCCTTTTTAACAAATGTGCTTCCTTTGATTAACAACAGAGAGTTGCTATCAATGCGACGAATCTCGTTCCACTTGTGTGCACAAGAGCGAAACATCACCTAATGATGCTCTGTTAGCCGAGACTTTGACTACCTTTGATATGCGATTGTTCATTTGCATTCTTCAACTACTCTTCCTCGTCATCAGGTGTGTGTGTGCGTGTGTAGTGTATGTTTAATTGGAACACCTTTCTCTCTCGAAAAACTTCTTCGATAACAGTCACCTTGACTCCTCATCCTCTTTCTCCTCTTCGTCCTCCTCCCCAAAACGTATCGTTGAAATGCGCCAACATTTGGCAGACAGCACTTTGTCAGACATGCGTGCAATGTCACCAGTCAGTGACAGACGTTGGGTGATGCATCGCATTTGGCCCCATCCCACCTGCCTCCACCTCACAATCCACCTTTCACTCTGTTGTAGCTAAAGCAGTCAACTGTGCTGGTGGAAAGAGGGGAGAGGGCAGAAATCTTGCCACTATTGTGCGAAGTTGAGGTCTCACTTCACGTCAACTTTTATTTGGAGGGGAAACGATAAAGTATTAAGGCAGGATTTACGATGGTCTTAGCTCGGCTTTGCCTTCCTGTCTGCATGGAGGGAACGTATGTGTGCAATTTGGTGGCCGTGGAGGCAAGAACGCACGCCCCTGTATGCCCCTCCTTGCACTCGATCGAAAATGAAGTGTCTCAGCAAGGCGCTTGTGACTATCCACTCACTCACTCACATATTCACAGTGTTGCACAATGATTTATGACGACTGTCGTCCGTTGGAGTGTTTGAGATTGACGTCGAAGGTGACGAGGGGATGATAATGGTGTCGGTGATGGTGGTGGTGGTTTTTGCCTGTTGCGGAGGCACAGGCATGGGAGGAGGACTGCTACACAACAACAAGTCATCCTTTCGCCTGATACATGAGCACATCGCTTTCCGAGATTTCATGCGAGAATTGTGTCCTCCGTTCCATCCACTCAACAGTGTTTGTGCCATTCCCACCACAGCAATGGCCCGCCAAAGGAGTGAACGCTTTGACGTGGATTAATGAAGGGTGTTGCATTGAATGGCAGCTCTACGGTGCTTATGTCGCACTGCCTCCA